TCTTTAAAGCTTTTTTTATACACCATTTAATAACTACAAGTATCAGAACATTTACAAGTACCAAAATGTTTTTAAAATAGAATACTAAATCATTCTAAAACATACTGCACTCTATTTATAAAGCAATAAAATGCAATTTACTAGGCTGGGTGCATGCGGATAAAGTTTATTTTAAGCTTTTTGAAGAGACTTTTTTTCGGATTGTACAATTAATGTCTTTATGTAGAAGGTTCAGATTTTAGGTTTGTTAGACGTAAAGTTTGGTTTCTAAGCAAACATTCAACACATGTGAACCGGACATGTTTTATTCTAGTGATGTAACCACATTCTGGCAAGCCAAATGCATGGTAATTTATCTGAAATTATTATTGTAATTAGTATAAGTTCTTTCATATGCTTCGAAATCATAATGTGGAGTTGCTAACAACTAATGCGATTAAATATCTTCAAAGTAACAGTAGTTCTTTGAGATAACTTCCAGGCAAACTGGTTTTTCAAAGCAGCGCAATGGTCAGTTTTTATTGCAGAATTTGAACATGACATATGGTAACCGGATGACCTTCCCCTACTAGGAATTAAATTAGTTTGGTCAGCATAAAGCTCTAAAAGTATGTTTTCAACCCTGAATAACCCCTACTTTTATAACTAATAAAAGCAAGTAGGCAATCAATCCAAGTTTTTATCGTACCATATCTTATAGAATACGAACGATTTTATTAGCAATATTTCCTTAATTAGGACCAATCACTTTGACCTACATACAGTCAGCACGGGGTAATTACGATAATATGTTTATCTAGGAAATCACATTTATCTGTATCAGCATATACCTCAGAAGATTCAGCCTATCATCTTAGATCATCACCGGTGTGCCAGTGGTTACATGCAATTAATACACAGATATAGCGCGTGTATTATTATAAGAACATTAAAGATCAAAGGTTAATTGTGATTTGTATCATCGCGTATGATGCACGAGAGAACAAGGCACCGATACAAAACAGAGTGGGGGCATTATAAAACAATATAGTTCAAGCCATCCAACATTTGATTGGGAACAGATGGTTAACCTTGAGATAAGAGGTGATTGAATCGTTTATTGGTGCAATTATTACAATATGTATTTAAAGACCAAATAACGTAAACGTAGTTACTGTAATACATAAATCAACGTCAATAATCTATATAATTATTTATAGCAAGTCAATCTAAAGTCATTTTTTTATCTTCGATGTAACAGAACAGAACAGAACAGAAACTTTATTTCAGATTTGTACAAAATACAATGTCATACACAATGATAAACAGTATGTGCATCTATTACTTGGCAATATCCATTTTAAATCCTCTTTTCATTGTTATAAATAAAAAATAAATAAATTACCATTTTTAATGTTTTTTCTTTCTATATGTTTTTTTTCCAAATGAGATCACTGTGTCCGTGAGTCATATTTCTAATTAGTAACATAATTATCTCAATCAAAAGAACACAACTTTTAAAGAAGAATGGAGCACGACCGGAAACAATTGAGTAAAGAATGATAGTATTTTCAAAGGAGGAAGAAAACTTGATCATATAACTTGTTATTATACATTAATTTTAAGTCTAACTGTATCCTTTCACTATAATACATACAAGGATAATATACTGGTGTTTTTGTAGGGGAATCTACTGAAGGTGTTTTCTTGACATGACGAGAGTGAACATATCCTTTTGAGATCAATTCTGTATAGCATCTGATATAGGTCTGGACCAATAATCTACGTGCAAAATTTCAAACCATTCGCTCACTTCGTTGAATTGTGCAAAATGACCTTGAAATAAAAGGTCATGCACAAAAGTCGTTTGAATTCTGAGTATATTTCTTTTTTATCTTTTGAATATTTGTTTTCCATTTTAAGAGCACTAATTGATCTAAGTTAATATGTAAAATATTTAAGAGCACTAGATGGTCCAAGTTAATATACAGGGATTTTAGACCTTGATAGAGTTCCTTTAAGAAAAGCACATGGTTACGTAAAAAGGAAGTTAGCCCACCTACAATTTCCCACAGTTTTAAAGGAAATTCTAAATTACCTCATATTTAATACAATAATACAAACCTTAAGTGCATGATTATCATATTCTATTTCAAACATTTGTAGAAGGTTTATTTATATTAAATAAGAGTGACTTTTCAATGGAACGGGCATGATTGCTGGCACGCTTGGCTGGCACTCGGGTACGTTTAGGTAGGTTAGACAACATGACTATATCGTACAGTAAACATACCCCGCCGATCAGTATTTGGGCGAAAATGTGGGTTTTAAAACAGTCTAAAATCAAACTACAAAACATTAGATAATTATAATACTGATTGAGAAAACCTCAACATTTTGAGTTATCTAACCAAAAAGGTGTGTCTGAAATTGAAAAAAACATAACCAGTTTATAACGAACTGTCAATCCTATATACACATGTGGTTTTACATAATTTGACCCTAAAATTCCTGACATTAAAGTCAGAAATGATGTATGAATGTTAAAATTATGTTTATTGACACAAATATTGTGATTCTTATTACATTATAGACATATATCTACATATCTACATTCAAACATGTACACAAGATGTGCAGCTTTAGTGTTCAAACAACAAAGCAAACATTCCTGGAACTACAAAAAACTCTCTACGGGGTTCAGTTTCACAAGTGTTATCCTAGCACCAGCTTGATTGAAAACAAAGCGTTCATAAAATAATCATTATAAAAAAACGGAATGTTTTATTTGAACACAACCAATCCCTCTATTACATTACCCATACGGCACAACTTTCTTTATAATTAAAAGGTAAATTGATTATAATAAGAGTGAATAATTAAAGACGATGCCAGTTACGTGTTCCTGGACAATATAACGAGCTGTTTTAACACGTACAGGTGTTGATGCTACTAGAATCAATAATATTGATTCAAGACACGATACAGTTTACATCTCACAGACCTTTTATACAAGCCTCTATTATATTTCCTAGATATTAATCATGGAAGATCGTTTTAATTAGAATAATGCATGTCTGTTTAGAAGTTGTGTTTTTGCCGCTACTTCCCGATGTTACCTGGCGGTGTTTTAGCAGACTCACTGTTATGGATTATTTAAAAATATAAGGAACACTTTCAAGAGCTGACGAGTAAAGATAATGGGAAACTGAACAGCTTGTTTTCATATCACCTTAATGCCTCCTATTTCACACAAACAGACAGACAAACAAATAGATAAGTAAATGAAACATATATTCTGTGTCCTTCCGTCTAAAAATCACTTCGGTACGAATGCACTATAATTAATCACGTGACTCATTTAATCAAATCTAAATTTGTACATCATGTTGCGATATTCTATGGATTTCAGCCACTTTTTAGTGTTATATTTCAAGTTTATGTAAACTTTATGTCTTCTACGTGTGCCTTTAAAGAGTCAAATCATGTCACGGGGGTAATTTGTGGTCAATATATGTGTAAATGTACTAATAAAAGTCAACGTTTGGTTAAATGACTGTTGTAATGGGGATCGGTTAATTTACATTTTGTCAATTATGGACGGGCAGACGACACCGTTTTAGATGGCTATCTATAATAAGCCACAATGACCAACGGCTATTTCAGTGTTAAACTTGTCTTATCATACACCATTTCATTTAACTTTTACATGAGCATGAAAAACTTGCCAATTCTATATTTATACAAAAAAAAAGAGTAGAATTACGCAACGCAGTCTGGACCTCCAAGATAACTTAGTTAATGCATATTTAGTTGGCTTTATATTATTTATAGAAAATATAAATACCATCATAAATATTATGCATATTCGTCTAGAAATATTTTTTTTTCATACTGAAAGTTGGGAAAATCTCCATTCAATAGGTAGGTAAAAGCTATTTCTCTTAAAACATTCCTTTGAAAACATATGTTACACAATTATGTTGTGTTTGTAAGAATGTAATTTATGATATAGGGAGAGGTAGTTTCTATTCATCTTTTACATTTATTATAACATAATGATGTAATTTTCAATCATTTTTGCAATAAAACTGAAGAATTATATACGCATGAAAGTTGTTTATATTGTACGTGTATTTCAAAATATATCAAGGACTTTTATGGCGTTTGAAAACCTGTCTCGTGTATGTAAATATATTAAAAATATATCTTTTACATTAATATATTAATCTGATTATGACAGATAAGAGTTATCATTTTAAACAAAGACCTTGATTCAATTAAGATAAACTCTGACCGAAACACATAAATATCACCGACTTTTAAATTGAGGCTTAACATTGTTTTACGTTAATAAATGAAAGCTAGACATAATAGAAAATCTTCAATGATGGTGGAAATCTGATCCTTGTGTAAACTATACTGTTATCTTAATGGCTGATCTTGATTTAATCTTCATTTCGATTTATAGCACGTTTGACGTACTTAATGCATGTGGGATAGCGAAGACGACCCGGGTAAGATCGATAGAGTGTAATAGGTTTATATACAAATATATAACACTTGTTAGTGTTTGAATACGCTCAACAGACTGAATAATCTAGGTCAACAAAACATACTTGAAAATATTGTAGCGTTGATATAATACGGTCGACGAAGGATCTGTTTTTTCGTATTTATTTGTTACCTTTTGTAAATTCAATGTTTGATCCATTGAATTTATGTAGGTTTAAATTGTCATGAGTGGTTTTACCTATAACCATTCCTTTAATCATATTTCATTAGGTTGAATCAGAATGATAAGTTGTGTACGGGGGCTTATTCATTAAGCGTGAAGCCCATCCAACAGTGTCATAATAATTAGCTCTATATTTATTTAAAGTAACTTTATAAAATGTCGAAATGGTCGACACCATAACCCTAGTCTTAGGATATTTGTCGAATGACACATTTTTATTGTTAAGATTATACTGTATAAATGTTAATATATGTGTGTATAAAAGTTCGAATCCTTCACTTACCACCATTTGGTCACCTCGCTCGGCATAGAACTGTTCGGCTGACTTGTAGGCACCTGCTCTGCATTCTACATCTACTGGACTTAATAACAATGTTAATAATATCACAGATACAATAGTTTTAAAACTAAATTCCATATTTTGTAACACGTATTTCCTATAAGTTCTACATGAACAGCATTTATCAACACCACTAGTTTGTTTATAGCAAAACGTAGGTACGACCATTCTCGAGTATCTATCACAGACTTCCATATCACCCTCTTCTCTTTCGTGGTCTATATTCATCTTTGGTTTCTCCGAATAACTAAATAAATAGCATTAACACTTAGTGTGTAATAGGTTTTAATAGCCTACTTAAAAATTGTAAAAAAAAGAAATCATAAATCAAGCATGTTTTACTATTGAGTTAAAAGGCACAATAAGTTGATCCGATATTTATAACTTAAATTGTATATTATCCATATAATATTGTATTGTGATAGCAAATTTAAATGCACTATCTACTATCCGATATTTATAAACTTCCTTCCTTTAATGTAGTGCGTATGATAAATAAACAGTTTCTCACTGACACAGATGTTTATAATATTATTTACCGAGTTTTAAGCTACAATTGAACAGGGGAGGATAAATAAGCAAGGTGTATTATATGTTTAATCCACTCCCCGACTGACATTCACATGAATAAATTTCTGCTCGCAGAAAACGTGTACGCGCGCGCTGTGTATACCGATAATTCTTCTCTACCATTGAAACACAAGCATTTGCTCTCGCATATATATTGCATCCAGAAAATCTGATAAAAGCCGCAGCGTCCTTAGTACCGGAAGTTACGTAATTTATCGGACCCTCTCTAAAAAAATATTTTGACGAAATTCGACGTGCTTTAATACAAGCAATATATAATGTAAACAACAATGTGGCCTAATTAGATGAGAACAGTTTTTCGTAGTACTTGAACGTTAAGAAGCTTCCTGTGTCATAAGTAGAAGCTCGTACCAGGGCTTGCTCCCTTCGTCAATTTTGACCACATCCGATATGTTGTGATTCTCCGTCAAGCCTAGCTGTTACACTATAACACCTGGTAGTTTGAACGCTTTGTCAGACGACAACGAAATTTTAACCGTTAGAATGATTAAAAGAAGCTTAATGAATCATATTTGCGACAAGATCGATGCCGGTCTACTTTTTTTCTACAAATAAATAATCAATGATAATTGTCACAGATGGTGGCAGTCGCGTTGCACGATGACGAATCCTACAATACCGTTTCTTTTTTCTCTCGCTCTGACGCCTCAACACTTAATTTACATAATCGATCACTCCTTTATTTATTAATCATTAAGCAGACTAGTGAAAATAGTTCTCTTAAACGCAAATAAAATCTGCTATAATAAATTTGTTATGGTCTCTTGATAAAATATTTAGTTGAGATATTGAAGAAAAATGATGTTAATTAGTCAGAATATGATTTTATTATTTTATAATGCTACACGAATATGTGGTCATCCACATTTTACAGCGATTTTAACTTTTAAAATTTCACTTTAAGAGCATGAATAGAATTCGTTAATGAATTCAAACGACGTGTAATTCAATTACCGTGCTAATTAAAAGTGTGTCTATTTTTTCATTTTCTTTTCTTTTTTGCAAGATAAAAAAGTCCTAAAATAATTCAATTACCTTTGTCCGCAAATTAAAACCAGTGATATAAAAGTAAGAAGCTACTAGGATTTTACTACACAAAAAATTACGCTTTTCACTTAAATATAAAAACTAAATGCGTTTTTGTGCCTCAGATTTCAAAAAATGACACTGTTAGAAAGTTTAAATTTATCTTACACTAAATTGATACTCCAAATCCTCACGTGCCTACTAGGTAGCATTCAGATCAAATTCTAAATTAAAAAATCCAAGATGCGTGTTTAAATAATGCCACAATTTCAGAAAAATTACTTTGTGGTTAGTCCATTGTATGAATCATTATTTGTATGTGGACAGTTTTACACGAGTTCAATGCTCTCCAAAATTAAATTAAAAAGTACCAGTTACACTGTTTAGTTTGGTTTTTTGACCACTTTTTGTTGAACGGTGGATACAGCACTCGAGATTCAGTCTTTGATATAGAATACAATGTTCAAGATACTGAATAAAATTTGACCGCATTAGTACATTATTTGTCTTACATCAGTTTTATTGTAACATATAAGATCATCTAACATAATTTCTTTATACGTATTAAAGGGTATTATCCTTAAAACATGACATAATTTATAAAGTGGTTACTGGATTTACCTGTAGTCCATTTGGTCATCAGTATACTGACCTTTCTGAGCAGCTATTTACATGTACATTTGTATATATTTTCACTAAAACTATGTTTATTTGATAATCTTTAATAAAATTACTATATGGTTTATAAAAATACAGATATTGTTACACCATATAGCATTGTTGGTAAAAATATTTTTGTTTTGTTATCCCAAAATTAAATAAATGGATAGTTCCATAAATGTAAGAGCTGAAAAAATGCATTTAAGAAATACAGCTTGTTACGGATTGATTTTTACGCATTTTATAATGACCATGTCTTAAAGATACCGAAAAATATAAAAAGATCGTTCATCATTTTATACCAAGGCAGGTATGTATTTTTCAAGTACATAATTAGTTAGATTCAAGAATCCCATATGGTTTATGTAATAATACTCAACAGTTGCCATAGAAACTAGACTTCAAATTAGTCGTTTAACACCTGAATATTATAGTTACTAACTTACTTTTGCCAAACATTGTCAATTAAAAGTTCCAACACAAATATTGGTGACACTTTAATAAACAACTATTTTTTAGCAGTTTTTATACAAATATTTTTCCTGAAGTTACATTGTACATTATACTATTGCCTTAGATCTTGTTTCCATGGAAGCGTACATATTTACTAGATAACTATCCACATACTTTATTATTAGTTCATTTGTAAAAATAAAGACTTTCTAAATTCAAATTTCACCATTTTCGTGTTTAAATGATAAATTCCGATTAAGGCGGTGCTTAGGGGGCGTGGAGGGTTACTACCGTCCATGAACAGACTCAATCAAACCGAGCCTGCACCAAATCTTCATTTTTGTCGCTTTGGGCGTTCTTTAGTCATTCCGTTTAATCTATTTCCGGTTTCCAAGATGTGATGACTGAAATGCATCTCCACGGTAAAAAAGAAACAACAACAACAACAAATAAATAAAAAAACAGACAAGCAAACAACAACAGAAAGGATTTTTTATTTTGAATAATTGTATCACTCTATCTTAATTAACTATTTTATGTTATTAATATTCTTTTACTTATGTACAATTTGATAATTGAGATATAAATTTTGTTTTGCAAGAACCATACGTAAGTTAATCTCTACCACTAATGACGTCATTCGTCCTAAGAGTTCCATGAATTCTATTGTTATCATAAAATAAAGCAACATGCATAAATCTCATACAAAACAGAAAAACCGCCGTGAATGATAGTTAATAAATATTTTATTATCTTTAAATGACACATAAATCATAAAGTGATATTAATGTATAATTATGATAGTGAATTATGGGGAATTATTTGATGAACAAACTGTCTAAGAATGCTGCCAGCGAGACTTCACTAACCATGCATTCAGTCTGACAGTTTATGTTTTGTTTCCCCCTATACAATTTACAGGATAGCCCATAAGCTAGCTAGCTAATATTTATGATATTCATCAATGTTTCTATGGTAACAATATTTTATTTTCTGTCTTCCGGAAATGTCAAAATCGATGACGATTTGCTTCACAAAACTATGGAAATTTACATAAAAGATCGTCTATATTTGCCAAATCTATTCAAACGATCGCCTTCTTGGAGAATAAATAAAACGCCTATCATATTCGACAAAGCACAGAAGAAACAATTCACTTCATGATAAAGTAGAAACTCCATAAAAGGGAATAAAATCAAACGAAAACGAAAATAATTTGAACGAATCTAAAAACACAGTTTTGTGTAATTGATTTTTAGTTGAATAACTATTATAAATGTAACATTATTACGTAATATTATTTTATACTTCCCTTTTTACATTAATGCTATGAGGGCGCATGTTCTCTAGAGTCTAACAAGATGAGTGTATAAGACGAATTCCGTCTATCTCAAAGTCATTTTGTGTCTGAAATCCTGTACAATGGTGTTAAGGGTGGGATTATTGTAGGGCATTTTGGGTCAACATTAACATTTCATTTATTAGCAAACTTATTAACAATAATGGTGTAAATGAAACATAGGCAAAAACAATTAATATCTGACCACAATTCAGCACTGTCTTTGTTAAAAACAATGAACAAACACACAAAGACATTATTTATGCAATATAAATGTTATGTAAGATCTCGCTATATTCACTATACATGAAGACCTTCAAGTACATAATTATTTTCTGTATATTAATCATATCTTCATATCAATTGTTTCTCCTTATATAAGTGATCTATTCACTTCCCTTCTTATACGTGTTTAGAAGGAAATTAAAACATAGAATAAACCATAAAAATATCGTCTGTCGTTGGTTTTGTAGTATGATACGTAATCATTTGTCTTAAAGCCACAGAAACAGCAAGACAAATACCTTTAAAAAGTAAAAGCACTCTAAATCTTTTATTTTAAATAATAAAATCTTGCTTAAAAGCGAATTGAATGTGCTTGAACATAACATTACATTACGTACAGAACAGAACTTAATAATAAACAATAATTTCCAACACTTTCATTTCCAGTCCGGATTTTTGACATTGATACTACCCTTATATGCGCAAAATCTAAGGCAGGTACCGCTGCAATTTCTTGAGCAGGGATCACGCCAAATTCATTATTATTATATATCAATTTTTCTTTTTATATCCCTGACAGTACGTGAGTTGTGAGGGAAAGTATTAAAGGGTTCATGTCCATTTAAAAACATTTATTGCAATAATATTCCAAGCGATTTCTGAACCGTTTTTCATAGAGATTTATAGGTAAAATGTCTCCAATTTAAATCGTTGTTTTCTCATTTAAGAACAATCATTTAAAGAAAAGTATAAAGAAAAAGTATAAAACATAGGTTATTGCCACGAAATAAAATAAAACCACAAAAACAAACATGGGGGTATTTGCTGAGATCAGTTTCTAGCTATCTAAATTGCCCAACCTTTTTAAAGACAGACTTTATTACAGTTTCAATTTTACAATTTGGATCGAGGTTAAGATGATTGTTATGTTTATTTATTCAAGCAAACTTTTAGCACGCTTAAGTGGCCATCAAAACTATAAACTGGCGAACTTGTAACAGTTGATTATATCAGGGGTACTTTTACCCGTTTTACTCGCCAATTTTCATGTCGTGTGCTAGCTATACGACACTATTGTGGTATAGTGTTGGGATATTAATGATATCCGGATAAATTAAAGGGAGTTGCCCTCTTTTAATGGTTGAATGATGGCCGGTCCAGGTGCACATTGAAGGATATAGCACACGAGTGGAATCAACCTGCACTATGGTTCAAATGTATTGATATTGTTTCATTTTTGACACAACACGAAATATAGAAACCCTACGCTCATATTAAATAACAGAAGTAGTTTCAATAAAAAGAAGAACAGATTAAATTTAGCTTTGACATCAAGTTTGTTGCACGATCAACATCACAACATTTCAGTTAAGCAAGAAAACGAATGACTTTGTATCTATGTTGATTTGGTTAATTCTTTTTTTAGAGTACAAACTTGTCATTTGGGTTTATTTTGGATAAAATATCTTCAATCACGGTCATTGAAATCTCATTTGATGACAGTTTATTTTTGAGTTCAAATTTTTCTTATCTTCTTCTAATTCATCAAAGTGATTCTTTACATATCCATCTGACAACCGTACAAGACGTAATGTGAGCGGTGTCACATAGAATTGTTATACTGACAATTAAACCTAACATTACAGGTGTAAAATTACTGATCCGAGCTGAAGGGTTTTCATAAAGAGCATTTACCAAGCGGTTCAAATGTTAATTAATTGTCATATAGCATGGGCTCAGGGTCGCTAGGTTATAATGTTTCATTCTATCAAAATTCTTATATCACATTAACACAACATTTTGATATTAACCTTTTATAGAGGTCGAAAACTGACACCCCGCTCATCATTTTAGATTGAATTTCAGTCAGTCAGTTTGACTTTTACGCCCTGTTTTCCATTTTGTTAAAAATGTCTGCTTTTTAAAATTAATGTTTAATGTTCAAGATGGAAGACGTTTGTGAAAAACTCGAATATGATCTCCTATAAACCTGTTTTAACATCAAAGTATTTAAAGTGAATTTGTCCATCATTGAAGGTCTGTGATACATGAAAGTGGCATTATGCCCATCGAAGGTTATACAGTTAGTGAACAGGTAATAGTCAAAATAAGTTTAGATTTTGCCATAATTCCTTTAAATTTTATATTATACTTCGCACTAATGTTAAATAAATCGTGTGGCCGAAGAAATTACACTAACTGAATTAACAATATTTTGGTTTTCCCAGGTAATCCGTAGGTACAAACAAACTTTTACTTCTTCTTCTACCAGTATACTGGCCACCTCCAGGTAAATGCGCAAGAGGGAAAGAAAGTGTAAATAGTGAGGAATATATACAGTGCAGGTAAACAACGGACAAGAGTGCGGTTTAGAAAAAAGAGTTTGGACAGATGAGTACGGAATGACTCAACTTTACCGGCTGACATAGCATCCGGAGAGAGACTGTTCCAGTCTTTGATGGTGCGATGGAAGAATGATTGTTGACGATATTGGGTGCGTCAGTAGGGATCTTGTACGATAGGTCATGTGTATGTCTTGTAGATGTGAGTTGGAAGGAATGAGTTGGGAGTTATCTTGAGCGATCTTGTTGTTGATGACTTTGTAGAGCATGATCAGTCTGGCCTACTTGCGATGTTCTTGTAGTGACTTCCAT